GCTCAGAGGATGGGACGGGGATTAGAGGATCGGGGTGGGGATAGGGAGGCTCAGAGGATGGGACGGGGGTCAGAGGATTGCGGTAGGGATAAGGGGGCTCAGAGGATGGGATGGGGGTCAAAGCATCGGGGTAGGAATGGGGGACTCAGAGGATGGAGTGGGGGTCAGAGGATTGGGGTAGGGATGGGGGGTGCTCAGGACAAGTTGGGAGGGTGAGATACAAACTCAGGATGCTCAGAAAGGTTTTTGTGCAGCTGGGAGTGCAGAGGAGAGCCCTGCACCTGGCAGGAGAACAGGGAGTAAGGAAGGGGTCTGAGTCACCAGAGCTAAATCAGGAAGGGATTTTTTTTTTTAAGTAGGGATTTGGGGAGTGGAAAATGGCTCCCCTTTGTGTGTTATGGACAGGAGGAGTCTCATCAGGTTAATGGGAAGCCTCCTGCCCAGCCCAGCCCGTGCATGGCTCACAATTGAAAACATGCACCAAATGAATCCCCTTGCTTCGCTTCTTCTTTATAATCTTCCTGGGACCAGGTGTGCTCTTAACTGACATTATCAAAGAGGGAATAGACACCCTGAACGTGAAGCATGTCACTCAGCTATAAGGCTGCTCAGCTGTTTCCATTAAAGCCCCAGGTCAGAATTGTCAAATATGGGTACCTAAAGTTAGGCCCCTAAACCCATAGCTGTAAATAGAAGTGGTCTCATTTTCAGAAGATCAGCGCACCCTGAAATCCCATTGAAGCCAATGGGAGCTGCTGGCTCCCAGCACTCTTGAAGTTCAGGCTGTTTCTATTGAGGGGCCTACTGACTAGCTTCAAATACACCCAGATCTGGCCAGTTTGGCTGATCACTGGAAACATTCACCTTTTGCTCTGAGACTGTCATTCTTTGTCTTTACCCAAAGATGGATTTATGATGTATTGTTTTTAGTGGCTTTGGTGTGCATGCTGCTGTATAGCTATATTGTGGTAGGCCCCAAATGAGGGATTGTCCTCCTCCCTGTTGTTTTAGGCAATGTATAAACATTATAAACGACAGTCAAATTCATTCCCTCCTCTGTAGAGCTTACAACCTGTGGCCCTGATCCTGAAAACTCTTAACCATTGGGCACAGGGCCTGATCCTGCACTCAGTGAAGTCAATTGTAATACCTTCCATTGACTTCAGTGGGTGCCAGATTAAGCCCATGGTATCCACTACTGTGACTAGTTAGCTTCAGGGTTACAACTCTGTGCCGATGTCTTCGCTTCTGCAAAAATAGTGTGTTTTTACATTGAGATAGCTAGCTTGATGTAAAATCCTAGTGGAGACAAGTTCATGGAGGATGGGTCCATCAATGGCTATTAGCCAGGATGGGCAGGGATGTCCCTAGCCTCTGTTTGCCAGAAGCTGGGAATGAGCAACAGGGAATGGATCGTTTGATGATTACCTGTTCTGTTCATTGCCTCTGGGGCACCTGGCATTGGCCAATGACGGAAGACAGGATACTGGGCTAGATGGATCTTTGGTCTGACCGGTCTGGCCGTTCTTATGAGACAAGGCACAGCTAGTTTTTACCTTGATGTGGCTGCTTGATGTAGCTAGTTGAAGTCAACCCCATGTCCCGCTACTGTTTAGCTTGACTTGCTTTTTGAGATAAAAACTACCTGTGCCTTGTCTTCACTAGCATTTTACACTGAGGTAAAGACATGGTGTAAAGTAAAGACTTTACACTTGGGGTAAAGACTCACTTTTTTTTGCAGTGAAGACAAAAGCCTGGAAGTGTTCTGTCCAGCAGTAAGGCCCTAATCTTGCAAAGACTTAGACATGTATTTAACTTAGACCCTTTGGGAGTACTAATGTGTGTAAAATTAAACGTATGTGTACATGTTTGCAGGTTTGGGCTTTATGTTAGATGCAGGAGCCCTATCTACACTAGAAAACTATTCTGTGGTGGGTATTTTTTTTTTTTTTTTTACTGTATAAATTAGATCTGTTGTGAGCAGATCTAACGGCACAGTGCTTCAAATGGTGGTGGCAGCTGATACACTTTCTACACTAGGGCTCCTGATACTGCTAACAGCCCGGGGAAATTTTTAGAAAACTTCCCTAAGCCACAATGAGATATGAAATAGATAAGTAGGAATGGAAGGGAGATTTGTGCAGTATGAGATTAGGAGTTCTCTATTTTCACACTGTATGTATCAGTTCCCTTTTTTGGTTTATTTTTGCACATTTATTTTTGGTAGGTTGACGTATGAGTGGGGGTTAGTGGGAGTGTGTTTAAAAATAAAAAAAGTTGTTGTTGTATGTTGAAAGTTTGAGCAAAAATCCTTTTTGCTATTTTTCAATTTGATGAGAAGGATGAGGGCAGGGAATACAATCTTTTAAAAAAAAAAGTTCTAACTTTTTTTTCTTTTTAAACAAAGTCAGATACAAAATAAGTGAAGTTTAAAATTTGCCCTGCCTCTGTTCCTCACTAAAACTGCTGACTTTGCTTGGTTTGGGTGGAGATTTTAAAATAAGAAAGTTGAAACAAATTACTTCTGAGCATCCTTGCTTGACACCATTTTGGACCTAGTCGCTGGGAGCTCTGGTCCCGTCGCTGCGGGCAGCTCTGGGTCTGCACGCTGCTCTCCGCAGCGGGAGTCCCTGCTCTGGCCTGATCAGCCCTTGGGGCCGGGGAGTTAGTGCTGCCTGCAATGGGACATGTGCCCACCAAGAACTGACAGGACTGCGACCCACCAACTGGCCTCACGCAGGCCATGGGGCAGCGACAGAGGGGGGCCTTTTGGGTCACCTTCCAGCCTGCTCTGGGACTAGACTGGATCTGATGCAGTGCCTTAGGTGCAAAATGCTCCTTATCTTATTCCCTGCCCCCCTGCTAGCTAGTACCCCTAACCTAGTCACACTGGAACTTGTTCCCTAGAGTTGAAGGCCTCTGTAACCGGTTGCCTAACTGCAAAGACAAATTCTCTAGCCTGTCCCAGTTCTGTGGAGTTGTCACCTTTCTTAGCTATGGACTTTTTTTTTTTTTTTGGTGGGGGTGGGGGAGTGAATATAAATCAACATCTGTTCTTCAAGGTGATAGAACATGGATTATCCTGGGAAAATGAGTATTTTCTGTGAACAGAGGAATTATCATATCAGATCCAACTGGGGTCCATCTAAACCAGTGTCTTGTCTCTGACGGTGGCCTGTAGTAGATACTTTAGCAGAAGATGCTAAAAACCCACAATAGACAGTTATGTTATCACATGTTCAGTTTCAGGAGTAAATATATACTTGCTCATTGCTGTCCCCCATCACTGTATGGCCAGCACAAACATCACACTTTGTTTGGCCTCCTCCCACCCATAAGCAAGCTATTCTGGTCATCGGAAGTCTGTTGTAGTCAGCAGATTGCAAAAGATTACAGCATCTAAAGTGTGACTTTCAGTCCCCTCCTTGTTATTGGCTCTGTAGCCTGACAATGCCTTTAGAGGCACCAACATAATTTATTCTGTGGGGTTGTTTTTTTACTGCAAATAAAATTCACTGAATTCTAGAAACTATGACTCAAAATAAACAATCTGCTGTTGTTATTTCACTGTAGAAACCAGACTTCTTGAGAGTGTTTGTGAAGGAGGAAGACGCTTCTGCCATGGCTGCCGAGCTGGATTTCTCTCCCCCTGAAGTCCCAGAGCCCACATTCCTGGAGAACGTGCTGCGCTATGGGCTCTTTTTTGGAGCCATTTTCCAGCTGATCTGTGTATTGGCCATAATCCTCCCAATTTCAAAGTCCCATAAGACGGTAAGTTGTTCTCTTCAGTACCAGCAAGCGTGGGCACAATCGAGTGGTGGTAGCCAGAACCTAATGGTTGATCAGTAATTCTGTAGTTCATTGCACTTCCTGTCTTTCCTGCAAGGTTCCCTTTACCTCTCTTCTGCCTTAACAGTCCCACGTCACTGCAACCCACTTCCCAGCCACAGAAGGTGGGAACAGCTGAACCTGCCAGGGCCTTTCTGAGCATCAGCACAAGGGATCAGCACTTTCCATGCAGGCTAAGTGTACTTGCCTCTGCATTGCTCCCAGTTTCTTCCAGAACACAAACAAAGGGCTGACCTCAGTCTCAAATCTATATTGCCATGTTAGTATGGGTCTGGTCCATTCTTTACCCTGTTGGTCAAGAAGCCAATCAAGGCGTACCCTCAGTAGAGTCTGCCTTTTCAGCAAGAGACTGCTAGCTCTTCTTTGTGCATAATCCTTGATAAAGGGCATCACTGCATGCGATACAGCTGAATTTCCTGGTGTTTGTTGGCACCAGCAATACAGCTTTCAGAACCGACCCCCACCTCTGTGCAGACATGTGGAAGGCCACCTGGCTGTAGTCAGCACAAGAGGGGGATGATAAGTAAACTACAGGGCACAAAGCAAATGTGAGATGGAGTTAAAATGTAAAACATGGGCTAAACTGGAGTGATCAAAGTCCAACTGGCTATTCTGATAGAACAAGATTCAAATGCACTTGGAAACCCCTGTATTTGTAGGGTCTTCAGTCTTTACACCAACTTTTCCTGATGGCAATCAGACCACAATGCATAGTGATTTTATATTTGTCTTGCTGTGTAGGGTGGAGGCCAGTATTTACAGGAACAACTTAACATGGGAAGTTTTGTTCTCTTTACAGCTGGCAATAGATTTGTTTAGAAAAATCTGATTCTTGTTGTGAAAAGATGAGGGGTATCTTTATCACAATATGTGTCTGAAGCCTGGAATGCTGCAATAATGCATTGAATGTAAAGAATCTGTTTATAGATAGTATCAGAGGGGTAGCCATGTTAGTCTGTATCCACAAAAACAACAAGGAGTCCGGTGGCACCTTAAAGACTAACAGATTTATAGATATATTTCTAAGCTGGAAGATGCCGAACCTGCTCAAGGTGTGTTTGTGTGTGTGAGAGCGAGCTGCAGCTTGAGAGGAGATGTGGTTTCTTTCATTTTCTTGACCCTGTTATGTTTGGGGGGAACGTTTAATGGCCTGAACTTTGAAAGTGAACAATAAGGAGAGCTCACACTTTGGCGTAGGGAGCTGAAAGCCAGGCATTGAATGGGAGTTGTAATGCTTAAGAAACCATCCTGTGGTGTGCACATGCTGTGGTTAAATTTTCCACACATATATTCTGCCCTCTTAGAGAAGCTGCAGACAAGTCCCATATGATCGATTTACAAGCTAATAAACAAGAATAGATGTCTTCTGGTCACGAGAGTTACACCAGCTGCTTGAGTCTGTGTAGAATTCAGAACAGCCTCTCTCACTTGAGGAGGCTTCAGGCTTTGAAGACTACCTTGCTTTGAACATTAGAAGGCAGCAGTGATCATCATACGGCAGCAGTGAACTCTGTGTCCCTGAATAGGAACTGCATAATGCTCTATTTCTCCACAGTATTGCCGCACTGTTTGCCAGCTCCCCATGCACCGATTACATCCTTCAACAAGCCAGCCAAGACTCCTCCCTTGGAAGGCCACACAGATATGAATAGTAATAGCACAGCAACTTGAGAAACATTTGAACTAAGCTCATTGATTAAAAGGATACTGTCAGCTACTCCCCTCCCCTGCACTATCTGTAACTCTCTCTTGGAAGCTTAAAACTAACACATCTTTCTCTGCCATTTTTGTGTGTCCTTTTCCAGTTGGCACATATTGATTGATAGAAATGTAGAAGCGTAAGCAATATTTATATCCAAACTCATTTAATGAAATGAGGCAATCTGCATGTGTGTGCCTTCTGGGATGAGACTGGCTCTGTTCCCTTGCATTTTTCCAAGATGACTAGAGTTTGTTTCCCATAATAGAAATGTTATCTATCATCTCCCTTGAAGGAAGAGATTGGGATGTCTCTAAGCTATCCTTCTTAGTCCAGGTGAAGAGACCTTTGTCTCTAACTTCTCTCCTAGATCTGGGGGCTTGATTACAAACTCTGAGCTTTAAATTCCTGCTGCTGGTTTGTTTGGGATTTTTTTGGAGGAGTGGGGGTTGTCTGCTGCATGATGATGTTTTTACTTTTGCAAAATCCCTGTTGAATGTTTCAGCACATGTACAGCTGATTTCAGGATTCTTTTTCTGTTCTTCCCATTTGGAATTTTTTTTAATTTCACTTCTCTCTTTCCTGCCCTCCGTCACAGCTACCTTTTGTTCTTCCTTCTCAAAATCTTCCCTAAGGGGTGTAACAACTTCACTGGGTAATGGAATGTGGTTCTGCTTGGCTTCTGAGGTCTGGTCTATACCCAGAGTTGCATCAGTAACAGTGTATGGTTTAAACCAGTGTAAGAAACAGAATGGATACGCCTAAATCAAATTAAATCTGGATAACATGGGGTTAGCTTGCATCAGTAATTTACAGATTGCATGTTTAAAACAATATGACCAGGTTTAAACCAACGGGTGCGATGTGTGTGTTGACAAGGCATTACATTAGTTGCTTGCTCCTTTTGGTATAGACACTCAGATTCTGAACTGGGATGAGATGTGAAATACAAATCTCATGCCTGAAAACATTACTGACTGTTCCTTTCTTAATTGACTGTTGTAGGACTCTGACAATTTTGAGTTTAAAAGTTCAGAGGTGGTGAAGAAGCCGAAGGTGGCTGCTCCGCAGCTGAGCAAGAAACCCAAGAAGGAAACCAAGAAGAAGAGATAAAAGGCCTTGTAAAGGAGCCTTAAAGACAAGTGGACTGCACACAGCCAGATGGTTAATTTAACTGTCCTAGTCACCATGGATCATCTCACCTCTGATGGGGAGGGAAAGCTTACACTTGCATCTCCTCCATGCTGGCTGGGATGTGAAGTGACGCATGGAATGGGGGGCATGTGTTGTGCCCCTGAGGATACCTTTTTCTAAGTCATTCTTTTAAAGACAGACGGTTCAAATGGATTAAGGACATCACGCTACCCAGCTTTGTATTCACTTGTATTGTTGTTACATCTAAAATACATCACTGCATTTTATGCCTTAGTAGTAATGGCTTTGTTACGTTTTTTTAAAAAATATTCTCTGTAGGTAATAACTACCCCGAGTCCAGACTCGCCCAGCTCAGGGCTTTCACCTGCCCCTATATTGCCAGCACTCTGTGACTGCTTTCTTCAGCCACTCTAGTCATGTAAACACTTTTCCTCTCTGCTTCCAGCCTGAAAGAAATATGGAAACTTCAAAACTTTTTGTGGTCAGAGGGGCTGAAAAAATGCAAGGACTAAGTGATTACAGGGCTCTTAAAAATACGGAGATGTTCCATTATAGGAAGCGGCAGCAAAGAGGTTAGGAGTATTGCAAACTGTCTGCCCACAACAAACAGAACTCTGTGTACCACGTTCTGCTGCTAACAAAGCATGGAAATCATTCTATCAGTCCTCCCATCTATAGTGCTCTTAGGCAAATTTTGGGTGTGCATGCAGCTTTGCCTAGCATGGTATCCTGTGTCTCCTCTCACTGAACATCTTCTGAAGTTAACTATTATCCTGCCCTGGGAGACTATGCAAAATCCACAGGACAATAAGCTCACTATGAAACACAGCAGAGATGATCATGTCTGTTGCTGTATAGCCAGGCACCTTCAGGCTCTCACTTTGAGGCCAGAGACCTAATGTTAGATTTAAATGTGGCTAGAAAAGATTGGAAACATACATGGTGATAAAGTGGCAGAGCCTCAATAGGGCAGCACTACCTCCTGATGATAGCTCACATGTCAGCTTGTTTGATCACTAGCGGGTCATTAGTATGAGAACCGCTGCTTAAATGCACTCAGAATTCAGAGCAGCACTAGGATCTGCTTTGAAGGAAAGTGTTCTATTGATTTCTGCTCCAGTCCTGCAGTCAGAGCCACATGGACAGATCCCTGCCACTCTGATGCATCTCTCTGATGTTATTGGACACAGGATGGATCCAGTTGCAGGACTGATGCCTGTCAGTGGGTATCAGATATTACACTGCTTTTGTCCTACAACATAAGCAAAACAATATGTTTGCACTTCTACAAATTACCACTGCTGAGGAGAGAGACTGAACCGCCTGTTCCTTTTTGTGTTTCTGGGGTCTTTTGGCCTCAAAGGGGTCTGACTCAAACTTCTGATGGCTTCTTAACTGTGCTGTAGGTACTGTCCCAGATGCTCTGTCTCCCTGCTTACACAGCCTGTCACTGGCATTGGTTGCTGGAAGCACATTAGTGGTGGTTAAAATGTGACATGGAGAATCCCTCTGTGAATTCACTCTTTATTTGTTCTAAAGACAATTTTCAACAGAGTACCGAATGAAACACTAATAGACAAAAGAAGACCCCACCCACACTCTACCCCAACTCCATAGCTAGAATGATCTCTCGATGCAGCAAAAAAATGTTATGAAACAGATGATAGAGAACACTGCTCTTTGTAGGCCACGAGTTCCTTGGTATGCTCCATATTCCTATCCAGAGACTCCAAGGGAATGAAAATAATTGTTGCTGTCCCAGTACAGGTGCAGTTAAGTTTTGCCATTTTTTTTAAATGAGGACAGATCAGCACTTGTCATGTGTCCTAGCCCAGTGAAGCAGTCCCTCTCCTTGTGATTTGATGAGGTTTTTGATTTGTTATAACAGAAGCACAAAGTATTTTGTGGTAGCATGCATATTGCTGGAAAGGCAGGGGCTGTGTTGCAGCCTAAATAGCATGCTAGTTAATGGGGATTGTACAGTCATTGCCTTGAAATGACAGGCCTCCACATCAACCCATCATTTTTTTGCCAGTCAGAATTTTACTGGTCACGTGAGCTGATTTTCAGTGACACTCACGCTGCCTGGGCCCTGGCCACCAGGCCGGGGAACTCTGCATTTTAATTTAATTTTAAATGACGTTTCTTAAACGTTTTAAAAACCTTATTTACTTTACATACAACAATAGTTGAGTTATATATTATAGACTTCTAGAAAGAGACCTTCTAAAAAGGTTAAAATATATTACTGGCACGCAAAACCTTAAATTAGAGTGAATAAATGAAGACTCGGCCCACCACTTCTGAAAGGTTGCTGAGCCCTGATTTAGTTTGTTGTTTTTTAAAAATAGATGAGGTTCCAGTCTATTCCTTAGGGTAACGTAGTTCAGCCCTCTGATTAGCTAAACATATAGTCTCTACTCACAGATGAGTAATACAATATGTATTAAGAACGAGGAGTACTTGTGGAACCTTAGAGACTACCAAATTTATTTGAGCATAAGCTTTCGTGGGCTAAAACCCACTTCATTGGATGCATGCAGTGGAAAATACAGTAGGAAGATATATATACACAGAGGACATGAAAAAATGGGTGTTGCCATACTAACTATAAAAAGAGTAATCAATTAAGGTGGGCTATTATCAGCAGGAGAAAAAAACTTGTTGTGATAATCAGGATGGCCCATTTCCAACAGTTGACAAGGAGTGAGTAATGGGTAGGGTGACCAGACAGCAAGTGTGAAAAATCGGGACGGGGGCGTGGGGGGTAATAGGATCCTATATAAGAAAAAGACCCAAAAATCAGGACTGTCCCTATAAAATCGGGACATCTGGTCACCCTAGTAATGGGGGGGAGGGAGGGAATTAGCATGGGGAAATAGGTTTTACTTTGTGTAATGACCCATCCACTCCCAGTCTTTATTCAAGCCTAATTTAATGGTGTCCAGTTTGCAAATTAATTCCAATTCTGCAGTTGCCCTTTGGAGTCCGTTTCTGAAGTTTTTTTGTTGGAGTATTGCAACTTTGAGGTCTGTAATTGAGTGATCAGGGAAGTTGAAGTGTTTCCAATGGTTTTG